ATGTGAAAGGTAAATAATAAGTTGTTCAATAACCTTCCCTGGGGGACTCCATACTCCTTTAAGCCCATTTAATCCCGCGATTTGCTTCCTATTCCTTAAACAGTTTCTCAAAAATAATAGATTTTTTCCCTCTCACTCCGTAGTATGACAGCTTCTCAGTTAAAAAATGTCGAAAAATTGGTCAAAGCAAAGAAAACCCCACCAAAACCCACAAAGTCTTAGTCAAATCCTTCACAAATTAAATTTATCATATTTACAACTGTTTTTTGGGCACCACATTCTTTCCTGAACCCGAAGTAGATAGGGTGCAATAGTCCACTCACATCTCATTGTTCCTGAATCAGCTTTTCAAGTAATTGATCTATAATTGAAATCAATTCTATAGGTCTGTAATCCAAAGTTTTATTTTAGTTAGGCAATTTCGGCAACTTTCAACACACATATTGATGTCCGTATCATTGTAATAAACACTAATGTCAGAGGTTCATTAATGGAAACTTTTTAATCTAATATTATTTTAATTTCCTGTATCAATATTTTATATATGGTTGATTATATCATCTCTGGTTACTCTATCAAACAAAAATGTTGACGTGCATCGTTTAAGGCTATATAAACTATTACAATTGTCAAGAATTTTTCTATAATACTGCCTTTTAGGATTCTTGGGATGTTCAAGAAGTATTCATTGAACATGAAATAGATTATTGTCTTAATCAACATATCGAATTATATGAAAAAAAAAAAAAAACAATTGGGAAATAATCTGCCGTTAAAACTGAGGATTTTCCCGTTAGGAGCAAAGTTATTGATATTATGAATATGAGTGGAATGAAACAATTTTTTAATAATTGTTGTAGGCGGTACCTCTTGATTTTCGGTATTTCGATGATTTTAGCGACATTATTCACGGAATTGTTTAAAATTTGGTATTTGAAGTTCGTAATGGGAACTACAGTCTGTGACGAAAAATTGTCTATGCAGGCCCACGTCGTCGTATAAGTCCAATATATCAGTACCTTCCTATATTCGGATTTTGACGAGTTTAGGTGCAAGACCCACCGAAATTGTTTGAGATGCTGTATTAGAAGTTCGTAATGGATGTTACAGCTTGTGATAGAACGGTACCTCTTTATATACGATATTTTGATGATTTTAGCTAAATTACAAACAATGCCTATGTAGGTCCACGTCGTATATACCCTATATATCGATATTTTAAAGATTTTAATAGAATTTTAAACAGATTTTATTTTTGAAAATTTCCAAATTCGTTCTAATCGGTGGAGGGTATACAAAGTTCGACCCGGCCGAACTTACTGCTTTTTAATTTGTTGATTTTAAGACCTTTTTTGAAAGGTAAATACTTGGGAAGCGAGTAATTGTAGTTTTTTCTTTATAGAATCCTCCTTTGTAAAGATTACCCTCATAATCCTTCAAAATATGTATTATTGGTTTTGTAATTTGAATCGATTTTATTCGGAAGATTTTAGTGTTATAGTCTGGTGTATATATAATAACTCTTCTGCGAGGAAAACGTTTGCTCGCGTGGGCTACGAACCCATTTACTACAAATCTTCCAAATTTATTTACTATGAACTTTTTGAAAATAATACTTCGTGGTTATGATATTAGCGATCCACCGGTTTTTCATCTCTAATGCGTTATTTCTCTGTTTTGAAGGTTTATTTCATTCAATAAATTTCTTATCTCAGATGATATTTTTCTCCTCAATATTTCTTGAGGAACTTTGAACCGGTGGAAAATATTCAATGTGAAGGACTTCTCCTCAATATATTGGTATGGGTGTCTGGGCAATAAGCTGCCTTCTTGCCACCAGCTGCATAGCTTTCTTTTCCGTTTTTGGAAAAAATAGACCTCCAGAATATGCTTGACATGCTGCTCTGTGTGCTCGATTATGTTCAGTTGCTATAATTTCCTGTTGCTCACTCGGGTCTGATTTTGTTCGAAATGTAATTAGGTGCCTTGTTTTTCAAACAAAAGTTCTTATCTGAGGCTCTATACCTTCTTCCACGATTATATGATTGCGAAAACAATTAACCGGTTTGTGGGTTTTTTCAATTGTGTTAGTTGATGATATTTCGCTATGAATTGTATCTACACTCACATTATCCAAGGCATTTATGTGTTGCCTAGATATCGCATCGGCGACCCCATTTTCCATTCCTGGTTTGTAGATTCGCCTTGCCTGGTATTCGTCAATAAATACTTTCCATCTTTTTATTTTTGAGTTCGGATTTCTGTCCGAAACGGCAAATGCTAGTGGTTTTTGATCTGTGAATACATTCAGATCTGATACTCCGTAGAGATAATATCTAAGCGTCTTTAGTGCCCGCCGTTAAATCAAATGGTTTCCGAAAGTCTGGATATGTTAGCGTTACATTTTCGGACGTTGGGATTTCTTTTATTATGTTGAATGCCTCTTTCTGTTCACTGGTCAAATCAATTTTGATTTTTTTCGACTACGATGCAGAAACTCGGCCATATTCTCCCCTCTGTATGTTTGAGAGTGGCTTTGCAATCTTGCCAAAGTCTTTAGTAATACAGCGGTAATATCCCGCCAATCCTAAGAATGATCTTAATCCCCTTAGAGTGGAAGGCTTGGGAAAATATAGAATTGTATTGACTTTTTCTGGAATTGTTCTAATTCCACTTTGGGAAACTAGAAATCCTAAATATTCAACCTCAGTTTGGAAGAAATTTAATTTTTCACCCGAAACTCTCGTATCGGCTTCAAATAGACTTCTCAGTATTAATTCCACATCTTATAAGTGTTGTTGCTCCTCTTTCGTGAATATGATTACATCGTTTTCGTAAGCAATACACCTCGTCCCGATGTGTTCCCTTAACACGTAATCTATCGCCCTCTGAAAAATGATTGGACAAAACTCGTATTTTCTGTTTTTTATGGAAACCGCAGTTTCTTCCTATCAGGTTATGATAGCTTTATCTGGTTACAACCCGATTTCAAGTCAACGTTTAAACATAATCCAATTACCGTAATTGATATAAGCAATCAAAATGAAGCTGTGAAAAATGGACCAATTGATTTAAAACTCGAATTTACCACCAATACCTCAAAACACCTCATCATATTGTCTAATCATTCACGACCGACTGGTGGAGTACATACCTTTAACCGGAATTGTTCGAAGAGCTGTATAAGTAATTTATACTTCCATGTCTTAATATTAAGTATATTTGTGAAATAAAAGTACATGTTTGATTTTTTTTTTATTTTTCAGCAATAAATATTTTATTAAATATATATAAAGTGTTTTTTTTATTTACAAAGTCATTTTCATTAAAATTTTAGAATTGTATAAAATCAAGAGATTCACTATTTACATATTCATTATCTCTATCTCCCAACAATTCAAAAATAGAATTGTCATTCCCGTCTAAAGGAATGTCTATTGTATTTACAGGGGGTATGTTACTTATATCTACATCTAGTTCTGTAGGAAAATTAGAAATACTTATATTTTCCAAATCTATATCATCATTATTTTTTACATTTGCGATTAATTCAAAAATAGAATTATCGCTTACATTTTCAGCATGCAAATCTAGTTCCATTGGGACCACGGAATTCACCTCATTATCATTTTTTATTTTATAATGGCCCCAAGCATACGTGCTTACACCATCTTCTCCTATAAATCTTTTATCATCTTGGAAACTGAGACACACTTTTGTTATATTGTCTGTGTATATCTCATGTTTCCTCGATCTAAATGTATACATATTATTATATTGTACAGAAAATCCCTATACGTGTCAATGGTGTACTGCTTCATAACAGATTTTTTAACACCCTTTGATTTTTTTACCTCTTCACTATTGTGGACTTTTATAGGGTACATTTTTGGTCTAAGGCCTACAAATTCCGATACCGTCTTTCCGCAGTTCGCGTCCTTCATCATTCCTATTAGTTTTTTATTGAGAAGTGTTATATTATATGGGTTGGATGGCGAAAAATCTGATGTCTCAAATCTTGCCAGTATTTCCTCTCGTGATAGTTCAGCAAAGTGGTTGCGGTTAGTGGAAGTTAGTATGAAGGAATCAGTATCCATATAATTTAATATGAAGTCATCTACAAACTTTACTTTTAAAAAAATCATACAAGAAATCGTACAAGACCCATTTTGATAACTCTAAAATACAAAATCCAAGGTATACAGGCTTATCATATTTCACCCTCACTTTGTTCATTTCAATTGCCACCATTTCATCTGAAAAGTGTGTTAGGCTATGAAAATTTGGTTTTGAAATAAACTCCCGTGCACCCCAGCGCTTCCCATAAGATTCCCAATGGTTTCTTATTTCTACAATTTTCCTTTTGTCCACATTTTCCATTGTTTTGCCATAAACAGAATTATTCATAAATTTATAAAATTTTTTGCGAAAGCATCTGTGGCTTGTGCTCTGAGATTGTTATATTTCATTATGTATGCTGCAAGCCAGTTGGATTGCGTAAACTGTAAACAGCTATTGATTTTTAAGAATTAAGTTATGCTGGATACATTGTTGAAGCACTCTATAATCAATGGTGCAAGACATTTTGTCATTCAAATCTGAAATCAACCTTTTGATCTTTTGACCGACACGTTTGGATTCAGGTCAAAAGGGTAAATCATTGTGTTTGTCATGTAGACTTTGTGGATATTCTAAGTCCGCATTAAAGAAAAAACCAGTTGGCGAATCATTAAAAATTGCTAATATTTTACTGACGTCATTGAATTGTTCCAACTCTTCTTGTGTTAAAAACTAAAAACCTTTTTGTGGCAAACATTGTGTCATTGCTTTACCATATAAATTGTTGACGTCTAAATAATAAATATTCACCTCAGGTTTACTAGGGTCATGGTCCGCAGTGTGTTTACTATTGGCTACCGAGTGTCTATTTGAACATTGTGTAAGTCCACCTCTAATGCCAGTTTTACAGAAACTATACATGTTAATATCTGTACATAGCTCTAATTCAACACCCGTGAACAGAAACATGGCGTCCCAAGATAGTGATGGCACTGTGAAATACTGGCAAGGATCAAGTACATGGTGACGGAGGCATAAACTTCGAAAGTTTTCGAACACATTAGCCAATAGTAAGACATCTGTTTTTAAATACAACTCCGTATAATCTTTGACAGTTTAACATTCAAAGTGTCTCCATGCATTCTGCGCATGTCTATAATCATCTAGCGAACACTCACTGTCAGTCAACCTGTTGTAAAATTCATTTCGTGCCGGCAATTGTCGTTCATATAATTTGTCTAATTAAGACAAGTATTCATAAGGAAAAATTCCTTTTCTAGTTAGCAGATTGAACTCAGCATCATTTGGAAACTGTGTACGAACAGCTTGAAATGCGTTTTTAGGTAGATTTTTAGCTAAACTATCCAAACTGGAAGACATAAAACGAAAACTGTCCAAGAACCTCAGTTCAAATTTATTCCGCCATTTGTTTTTCGAATTCACCGAAGAATTATGATCAACCATTTCATTTAAATAATTTTTCATGTTAATAATTCATTTGTTGAAACATATAGTTCTTTATTTAAAGGAATTACATCAATGTCTCCATCACACTGCATTAAGTCTTTGAAGGATAAATGGCAATCGTAATAATTGTGGAATAATTGTGAAAGAATATTGGTATAAATTTTGACACACGATATTTGAGATTGCATTCATTGTGTGCCGCCCCCCGATATTTTCCGGTTAAATGGCAATGATCCTTAACTCGATCATTACCCAAGGCTTTTTCACAAATGTGACAGACCTACTGCTAGTAAAGTCATCTAATTCCGTCTGAGACAATGAAATCATTGGTACCGTTTTTGACAAATATGTGTTGTAAATAAATTTACAATCCCCTATAAGATTTTCTAGACAGTTTCTCGCAGCATTGGGGCCATAATACATATAAAATTTACTAAGACTGTCATTAAAACTACATTTTATATAATAACTTAATGCACAAGGAATGTGCTTTTTTTACCGTATCTGTGTTTGTGTTGAGGTTCTCCGGGTTCCAATCCTCTAGGATACATTCGGCATCAGCATAGACCACAAATGGTACTCTCTTTTTTTTGTGATAGTTTTTAAAACGAATGATGTTTTCTCCCTCCTTTGGCATATCCGTTACGACCCCAACACACTCCTTCTCATGTTTTTCATATACGGCTTCCGTGGTGAAACTTTGTATGCAACCATCACAAATGATTGATCTACCTTTATGTGCTGTCAACTGCGAACGTAATAACCTAAAAAGCAATAGATATATTCATTATTTATCATATTTAATAGTAATATTACTGTGCTATTTTAACTTACCGTGACATATCCATAATCAATATGTAGTGGAACTTGTCGCCCTCATGAAGAAGCATCAAGTTAATATGATGATTCCTTCGTTTTGGGGTAAGATAGTAGGGTCCAACTATCTGATTTCCATCATAGCCGAAGACATTAATACTTATATCTTCATTATTAGCCTCAAAATCCTTGATATTTTGTATCGCCATAGGGAAAGTAAGTCCTCTAAAATTCAATATCTTCCCGGATGGCAAGTATATAATATCTTCGGTTATATTAATATTATATGATTGCGGATTAGTTTTATCACATGCTGCTGCTGGTTCCGATAAAGCTGCCACAATACACAATTTGATTTCTAGTGTAAGACAGGCATTCTTTTTTGATAAAGAGAATGGTGTCTTCAAGAACTGGGAGCTACGAGTTAAATTAGCTTTATATAGATTTATATTGAGCTATACGATTTTGTCTAAAGCCCAACCAGAATCTCTTTCTTGAAATTCTGACATTTTATTAATCATACGATTCGCATGATCGTGGAATATTTGACTTATATCGTCACCTTCCGTTATCAACGACATTTTTGACATATGGCAAAAAATTTGTTGACTTGTATTTAAAACCATATTTGATGTTGATGGTTCATCACGTTGATTTGTGGGCTTGACATATTCTCCTATAAGCTCAATATTGAATTTTATAGGCGTATTTCTCGCAAAGTTCTTCTCGACCAAACTGACAATCGATTCTTTGGCATCGCTTAATAATTCATTTGGCAGCAAAATGTTTTTTACATTAATATACTCGAAGGTCAGTATGTTTTTGCCAAATGAGTTTTTTACAATATTGACATTTTCACCAAAAATTTGTCTAATTGCACGCCGTTGTTCATCACTACGAAGATGAGCCGACATTTTTCGCACTGCTTTATGGCACTCATTGCAGAACTTGTTTCCACCTTCACTTTGTTGGGATGGTATACATGATTCACTTTGTGCAAACGTTTGTGGAATGTTATGGCCATTGCCTGTGATTTGGAGAATTATAAATTGATTCCGCAGCAATGGTAGGGTGTCACTATTGCAGTTTGCATATTCTATATTATCTAATCCTGAGTTTTTAGATATTTGATTTTGCATAGGTGGACATCCATAATTTTTTTGGTGAAATTTTAATTGGTATGGATTACTAAAAAATGTCCACAGCCACTGCAATGCTTGTTGATGTGTCTCAAATATTCGCGTTTGATAGTGAACGTTTCGGAGCAGAATTCGCAAATATTTTGTGCCATTTCGATTTCGAAAAATTTGATGGCGATGCTTGCGATTAAATTTCTTATTTTATACTAAAGCTATTTTTTAAAAAATTCAGACCTATATTAACACTAGCCATTTCTATAGAAAACCTAAGAAATCTACACTAACAGACTCATATATTCTTCAAAGCATTTTTCATCCTAGGTCTTCCAAAATGCAACAAGTAAATACGTAACATCAGATTGCCCTTGTAATTTTCAAAATGTTACATCTTGACACCAAACATAAATTCTAACAGTTTTCTCATATGGATTGAATGTAGTTACTTCAATTAATTTCAAGTTATTTTTTTTCTTTCCTTTTATATATAACTTTTTTGATAATATGTACCACAAGTGGGATGATGCCAAGTGAGGGTGGCTCAAGAAAAACCAAACAACGCACACACACACAGTGGTTCAAACATTCCCAATGTGAAATAAAGAACCCAAACATAAAAACTAAAAAACCAAATCATCAATGGACGCATCTTGTAAGCGGAAGTCCTAGGTCGTAAAATTTTATGGCACTTGCCACTTCCTCCCCCAGGTCACTACCACTAGCGTGCTTCTTCACGATAACTCCTCCCCTTCTAAACTAGGGCCGTCCATGGTCCCAGCGTTATCGTTTTTTATTGCAACCTCCACAGATTTAGTTATAAGAATTTTTTCCTTTGCAGAGGCCCTGCGTCGGAGTAAGTAAGGAACCAGTCCTTAAGTAATAGAATTTCAATAGTCGATAAACTTGCGATATGACCTCGATAGACCACATGTTGTAGTTGATGGATATGTTGGAGATTTTGTTTGTTGACATGATGTAGATAGGAGGTGCTTAGTACATCGGTGCGTTGCGTTAGGTTAATCACAGAAGCCCATGGAACATCCGGTTGTAGGGGTGTCGCTGAATTTTCGTCGTAATACATCGTATCATTGAAGACAACTAGGTAAGCACCATTGACAGTAACAAGGGGTTCGTTGTTTTCCTCTACTACCGCCAGTATGTCATGATGACCACCAAACCATCGCCTATGACTGTAATTGGTGGGAGGTTGTTGAATGTTGTGCTGCAGTTAGCGGTGTTACGTGTCATTAGTTCCAGAGCGCATGATATGAATGATGATGACAAACATAATGTAGGTATCGTATCGCTGCATTTTCTTACTGCTGAAGTGTAATCTTAATTTTAGATACAGCCATAATGTCGGCTACGAAGAGGATTTCATTGCTATCTAAAAGGATAGGGTTCAAATCTCCAATTTTTGGGAATATAGTGGAAGTTACTAAATTATTTAATACTGTTACTATCGGTTTACGTCCGCATCCAGCAACTTTCTCATATGAGTTTGGGGAATGTGGTTTGTAGCGTTAGCTGTCTCGTCTCTTAGTAATTCGTATAAGGTTAGGTTAGTAACATGTTTTATGTGTCCAAAGTTTTCCCAAATTACGAGATCCCCGCCGGTTACCGGAATGTATCTCGTATTCGCTATGACCAATTCTAAGGCAATACTAAAAAATGTAAACAATATTTCCTTTAACTCACGACCAATATAAGATATGTTCTTTCTATACATTATAGTGAAAGGAACTTCACCGAAGATTGTCCTTATGGACCCTCCTTCCTCTTATCAGAACTATTGTCCCTAGATCTTGTTGGACTTTTCCTTCACTATAAAGGGGAGTTAGTTTGTTCCCTAATTTCCTATTATTCTTGACGAGAACTTTTTCCCCAACGAAAAATTCCCTGTCACGTCGGTTCTTATTGTGAGTTATTAACTCTTTATCCTGGGCGGTTTTAACCGTGACACAATTTGTTCATCATCCTTTGTTGAATGGAAGATGCTCATGGGTCTCATTCCAGTCACCGTATGTATTTTATTATACTCGATGGTGGCTTAAGGTATCGATATCGTCCAGATTCTTGCCAATTTTAAGACCTCGCGCTATTTCCATCAGTGTGTTGTGGAAGCGCTCTACCTGCCCATTTGATGTGCTGTGTAGGGGTGGGGCATTCACGATATCTGCGAGTTAAGTGACTTTTCGTTGTCACAATAAATGGTTTTTGTACCATGGAACATATTGAACTACTGTAGTAGCTGTGGTTTAACATCCACTATAGTCCTAGAATTTAGTGACTATTTAGTGTACTATTCATATTTTGAAAATTTGTCGATGCATGTCAGAAGGAACTTTGAACCGGTGGAAAATATTCAATGTGAAGGACTTCTCCTCAATATATTGGTATGGGTGTCTGGGCAATAAGCTGCCTTTTTGCCACCAGCTGCATAGCTTTCTTTTCCGTTTTTGGAAAAAATAGACCTCCAGAATATGCTTGACATGCTGCTCTGTGTGCTCGATTATGTTCAGTTGCTATAATTTCCTGTTGCTCACTCGGGTCTGATTTTGTTCGAAATGTAATTAGGTGCCTTGTTTTTCAAACAAAAGTTCTTATCTGAGGCTCTATACCTTCTTCCACGATTATATGATTGCGAAAACAATTAACCGGTTTGTGGGTTTTTTCAATTGTGTTAGTTGATGATATTTCGCTATGAATTGTATCTACACTCACATTATCCAAGGCATTTATGTGTTGCCTAGATATCGCATCGGCGACCCCATTTTCCATTCCTGGTTTGTAGATTCGCCTTGCATGGTATTCGTCAATAAATACTTTCCATCTTTTTATTTTTGAGTTCGGATTTCTGTCCGAACCGGCAAATGCTAGTGGTTTTTGATCTGTGAATACATTCAGATCTGATACTCCGTAGAGATAATATCTAAGCGTCTTTAGTGCCCGTCGTTAAATCAAATGGTTTCCGAAAGTCTGGATATTTTCGGACGTTGGGATTTCTTTTATTATGTTGAATGCCTCTTTCTGTTCACTGGTCAAATCAATTTTGATTTTTTTCGACTACGATGCAGAAACTCGGCCATATTCTCCCCTCTGTATGTTTGAGAGTGGCTTTGCAATCTTGGCAAAGTCTTTAGTAAGACAGCGGTAATATCCCGCCAATCCTAAGAATGATCTTAATCCCCTTAGAGTGGAAGGCTTGGGAAAATATAGAATTGTATTGACTTTTTCTGGAATTGTTCTAATTCCACTTTGGGAAACTAGAAATCCTAAATATCCAACCTCAGTTTGGAAGAAATTTAATTTTTCAGCCGAAACCCTCGTATCGGCTTTAAATAGACTTCTCAGTATTAATTCCACATCTTATAAGTGTTGTTGCTCCTCTTTCAAGAATATGATTACATCGTTTTCGTAAGCAATACACCTCGTCCCGATGTGTTCCCTTAACACGTAATCTATCGCCCTCTGAAAAATGATTGGACAAAACTCGTATTTTCTGTTTTTTATGGAAACCGCAGTTTTTTCCTATCAGGTTATGATAGCTTTATCTGGTTACAACCCGATTTCAAGTCAATTGTGGTAAAAAATTTACTTCCACCAAGATTGGACAAGGTGTCCGTGATTTGAGGAATAGGATATTTATCGCTTATAGTTTCTCATTAAGTTTTCGGAAATCTATTACCAAATGTGTTTTCTCTCGTCCAGTTTTGTCTATAACCTTTTTCTTTACTACCCATATTGGGTTATTGTTTTGAGACCTAGACTTTCGAATGATACCATTAGCCAAAAAGTCCTGTATTTCTTTGTTTAAGAAATCCGAAAAATACGGGATACGGGTACAATCTCGGGTACACTGGGTCTCCGTTTTCGGTGCGGATCGTCGCAACCACGTTTGTACTGTATGGAAGTGCTTCATTGGGATCTGCAAACACTCCATTAACATTTTTAGTTGCCTTGAAAAATGCTTCTTTCAAATGGTTTTGTACCGACTTGGCTTGAAATTGGAGATGATTTATGTCCTGTCTAGTCATGAATAAAATAGTTTCCTTTCCGTTGGCATGAGTAATTGTGTTTGATTTTAAATCAATAGACGCGTGTACCTTATTCAATATGTCAAGGCCAATGAAGCCGTCAAATGATGTCAGTTCTTTAAACAAGATATGAATACTCTAAGTGTATCGGCCCTATACTTTTCGTTTATAGTATCCGCTACACTGTTTTAATATGACATAATGGTCTTGTTTGCTAATAACGTCAGTTTCTTTTCCACTTCGTCGTAGAACTCTAAACATGACATTGAACCCTGTCTAAGTGTGAACAGTTCCTTTTCTATTAAATAGATGGGACGTTTGTCCGCATAGGTAAAGTCCAGTCGTGCAATGGTTGCATTAAAATTTAGCACTGTGTTAAAAGATGAGA